TTTTGAATGTCCAGAGGACCAGATTGAACTTTTTTGGATTTTTCTACCTGGATTATTGAGCATGCATCAGGATACTATTACACAATGATCACTCATCTCCAGTCCAGCGGTCACTCTTTCAGGGATGTAGATGTTCACATCCTGGATAGAGAGGAACGATGGTTTGAGAGAGGAGTAAAGGAGGCCATCTTTGTGAAAATAAACCGGCCATCATTAAACAGGGGTAGAAGCCTCCATGTTCAACTGTCCCCCTCTTACAATGCTGTGATTGCTAGTATCACTCAACCCCCTGTGAATAGCAAACAGCCATCAGTGTGCTAATGATCCATTGTTAGGCTGATGGTCCTTCTTGAGCATGTGATCAGCTGGTTCTGGTTGTCAGCAGCAAAAGTGGTTGATCCACTCTGAGAAGGTGCTATTTAAGAGACTGAGCTGAATACAGCACCTCAGACTGAGGAAGTCTTTCGGATGAAAAACGAAATGTTTTGACAATTTTTTTGTTTTGTTTTGTTTTTGAATGTCCAGAGGACCAGATTTAACTTTTTTGGAAAAAGCAAAAAGGTTCTGAGAATTTAAAGTTCTCGTCCATCCACCCATTTTCTTCTGCTTGTCTCGGGTCAGATCGCGGGGTTAGTAGTTTAAGTGGGGAGGCCCAGACTTCCCTCTCCCTAGCCACTTGGGCCAGTTCCTCTGGGGGAATTCCAAGGCATTCCTAGGCCAGCCAAGAAACATAGTCTCTCCAGCGTGTCCTGGATCTTCCTCTGGGTCTCCTCCCAGTGGGACATGTCCGACACACCTCACCACGGAGGCGTCCAGGAGGCATCCTAACTAGATACCCGAGCCACCTCAACTGGCATCTCTACATGGAGAAGTAGCGGCTCTACTCTGAGTCTCTCCCGGATGACCGAGCTTCTCACCCTATTTCTAAGAGAGAGCCCAGACACCCTGCAGAGAAAACTTATTTTGGCTGCTTGTATCTGTGATCTTGTGTTTTAGATCACAACCCGAAGCTCATAACCATAGATAAGGGTAGGAACGTAGATCGACCGGTAAATTGAGAGCTTCGCCGTTTGACTCAGCTCTCTCTTTACCATGATCGATCGGTATAACGCCCACTTCACTTCAGACGCCGCACCTATCTGCCTATCGATCTCTCACTCCTTTTTCTCGCATTCCTGAACAAGACCCTGAGATACTTGAACTCCTCCACTTGGGGCTGGACCTCCTCTCCGACCCAGAGAAGGCACTCTATCTTTTTCCAGCTCAAGACCATAGCCTTGGATGTGGAAGAACTGATCCTTATCCTGGCAGCATCACAGTCAGCTGTGAACTGCTCCAGCTGTAGATCATGACCTGATGAAGCCAATAGGACCACATCATCTGCAAAAAGCAGAGATGCAATCCTAAAGCCACCAGAACTGATCCCCTCAACACCTTGGCTGTGCCTAGAAATTCTGTCCATAAAAGTTATGAACAGAATCGGTGATAAAGGGCAACCTTGGCATAGTCCAACTCTCACCGGGAATGAGCCCGACGTACTGCCGCCAATGCGGACCAAGCTCGGACACCGGTCGTACCGGGACCTAACAGCCCATATCAAAGGGCCTGGTACTCCATACTCCCAGAGTACCTCCCACAGCGTTCCCCAAGGAACATGGTTGAATGCCTTTTCCAAGTCTACAAAGCACATGTAGACTGGTTTGGCAAACTCCCATGCACCCTCCAGGACCCTGCTGAGGGTATAGAGCTGGTCCAGTGTTCCACGACCAGGATGAAAACCACACTGTTCCTCCTGAATTGTAGGTTCGACTATCCGACGGACTCTCCTTTCCAGAACCCCTGAATAGACCTTACCAGGGAGGCTTAAGAACATGATCCCTCTGTAGTTGGAACACACTCTACAGTCTCCTTTTTTGAATAGGGGGACCACCACCCCAGTCTGTCAATCCACGGGAACTGCCCCCAATGTCCACGCAATATTGCAGAGTTGCGTAAGCCAACACAACCCCACAACATCCAGAGCCTTAAGGAACTCCGGGCGAATCTCATCCACACACAGGGTCCTGCCAACAAGGAACTTTTTAATCACCTCGGTGACCTCAGCACCAGAGATTGGAAAGCCTAACCCGAAGTCCCCATGTTACACTTCCACATTGGAAGACGTGCTGATGGGATTGAGGTCTTCAAAGTACTCTGCCCACCGACCCACAACATCCAGAGTTGAGGTCAGCAGCACACCACCCCCACTATAAACAGTGTTGGTCGTGTACTCCCTCCCCCTCCCACGAGACACCGGATGGTGGACCAGAATCGCCTCGAAGCATGGCCTTTCTGAACTCCTCCCACGCCCAAGTTTTTGCCTCAGCGACCACTGGAGCCGCATACTGCTTGGACTACCAGTACCCATCAGCTGCTTCCGGGGTCCCACAGGCCAAAAAGGTCCAATAGAACTCCTTCAGCCTGACAGCATGCCTCACCGCCTGTGTCCACCACCTGGTTTGAGGGTTGCCGCCACGACAGACACCAACAACCTTGCAGCCACAGCTCCGATGAGCTGCCTCGACAATGGAGGCACAGAACATGGCCCACTCAGACTCTATGTCCCCCACCTTCCTCGGAACATGTTAAGTTCTCCCGGAGGTTGAAGTTAAAGTTCCGTCTCACGGGAGACTATGCCAGACGTTCCCAGCAGACCCTCACAATACGTTTGGGCCTCCAGGTCTGACCGGCAACCTCCTCTACTATCGAAGTCAACTCATCACCAGGTAGTTGTCAGTGGATAGCTCCACCCCTTTTTTCCACCACAGTGTCCAAGACCTGCAACTGCACATCAAATGAGAACAATAAAGCTGATCATTGAACTGTGGCCTAGGGTGTCCTGGTGCCAAGAGCATATATGGATACCCTTATGCTTGAATATGATGTTCGTTATGGACAATCCATGATGAGCACAGAAGTCCAACACCACTCGGGTTCAGATCAGGGGGGCCGTTTCTCCCAACCACACCCTCCAGGTCTCACTGTCATTGCCCATGTGAGTGTTGAAGTCCCCCAGCAGAACAAGGGAGTCCCCAGGAGGGGCACACTCCAGTACTACCTCCAAGGACTCCAAAAAGGGGGGATAATCTGAACTGCTGTTTGGCGCATAAGCGCAAACAACAGTCAGAACCCATCCTCCCACACATAGGCGGAGGATAGCTATCCTCTCGTTCACGGGGGTGAACCCCAATGTACATGCACCAAGATGTGGGGGGCAACAAGTATGCCCACTCCTGCTCGGCACCTCTCACCAGGGGCAACTCCAGAGTGGAAGCATGTCCAACCCCTCTCAAGAGCCAGAGCCATGTGTTGAGGTGAGTCCGACTATTTCTAGCCGGAACTAGCCGGAACCTCTCAACCTCACACACCAGCTCAGGCTCCTTCCCCACCCACCAGAGAGATGACAATACACGTCCCGAGAGCCAGCTTCTGTCGCCAAGGATCAGACCATCAAGGTCCCTGCCCTTGGCCACGACCCATCCCACATTGCACCTGACCCCTTTGGCACCTCCCACAGGTGGTGAGTCCATGGGAAGGGAGACCCACGTCTCCTCTTCTGGCTGTGCCCGGCCAGGCTTCATGTGTGAAAGTATTAAAGGTTAAACGTGAAAGGGTGAAAGCCCAGCCACCAGGCGCACGCCAGCGTGCCCCACCTCCAGGTCCGGCTCCAGAATGGGACCCCGGTGATCCACGGGGAGAGGGAACATTGTTTCCATTTATTTGATTCATCATAAATAGTCTTTGGGCTGCACTTTGTCTGGTCTCTCACCTAGGACCTGTCTGCCTTGGGTGACCCTACTAGGGGCATGAAACCCCTGACAGTATAGCTCCTAGGATCAATGGGACACTCAAACCCCTCCACCATTGTAATGTGGCAGCCCAGGGAGGGATTAAGGAAATGTGGCTAATGTTAAATGGGTAGTGGTTAAAGTTCCTGATTTGTTTTAATTAGGAAACTGATAAAAGTTGCATCTAAAAAATTTGTCAGGTCCTCTGGATGGGTGAAAAAAAATGTAGAAAAATTGTCTATACGATTTTGTTTTTTTTTACCTATCCAGCATGTATTGAGCATGCATCAAGATAGCCATCCAGAGGACTTGACTTAACTTTTTTTGATTTTTCTACCTGGATCATTGAGCAAGCATCAGGCTGATAAAGTTACCAGTACACTTCCTAAAGTCGGACATAAATTAAGGTCCTGGATGAGCTGAGCATTTAGAAACATAAACAGTGAACATCTGAATAAAGATCAGTTATGATGCTGAGGATTAACATTTGTTTCCTTTTTAGTCCCTGAGCTGTGACGCGTTCGTCGGTTGTGTCAGAGACCTGACCCTGAACAGAGTTCCTGCAGGAGTTCCAGCTCACAGCCAGGGAACAGTGCCCTGCTTCCAGAGTCCTCTGCAACCTGGAGCATACTTCTCTGGACAGGGGGGACACTTGGAGACAGGTATTTCCTGTCCCCCTCCTCTTGTTTGAGCCTCACTGTGGACAATGTCCTGACTGAGGGCTGTATCTCCCTTCTGACAGATAAATCCCTGGTTCTGAGTCAGGACGTAGAAGTTCAGTTGGAGGTTCGACCCATCTCTGACTCTGGGCTGTTGCTGCATGCTGGAACCACAGTGGACCAACACCTGAGCCTGGTCCTCAGTCAGGGAGAGGTAACACAACTCTGTCATACAAAAGAACCACATGAAAAGGAAAACAGTTATCACTGGCCTCCAAAAGGCAGAGGTTTTCCCTGTGTGCGTGTGCGTGTGCGTGCATGGATTTTGATAAATCTCTCAGAAAGTAATCATTAGCTGTACATCTATGACTGATTCACTTTTGGGAACTACCCAGTTTAGAATGGCTGATGGATGATGTGCATTCCTTCAGTGTCATTCAACCTAAATAAAGGTTGAATAAAAAAATGACTAATAGGTCTTAAACTCTTTAATTTGTACTAAAAGTCCAAAATAAAACCCGAGCTCAAAGTGATATTTGTGTTTGTAGGTGACTGTTTCAGTGAACAGTGGTAGAGCGGGGTTCTCTACCTCCTTTACACCTGACAAACCCCTGTGTAATGGCCTCTGGCACACCATCACAGGTGAGTTCCTTCAGACAGGCCTCCCCACACCTGCCATGGTTCTGGTGCAAAGCTGTGATGCTGAAATATGTTTCCAGTGGTGAAGAAGAACAACTTTCTGCAGCTGCTGGTAGATGGAGCCAGCAGTCAGAGTGTAGGCCCCAAACAGAACTACTCCACAAGGACCAAAGTGACTGTTTACCTTGGAGGCAAACCCAGTAAGTACACACACACACACCTCTGTGAATAGACACTCCTAACATCGACAGTTTTGGGTCTTATTTGAGAGAATTGGAGGGATCAGTAAGGTTCAGTACCATGAAAATGTCTTTATGCCCCATTTCAACTACAAACATCAGACGAACTTGCTGAGATTTTACGTGACAGACCAAAGTAGAGCTTAACTGTGAAGTGACGTGGAAGGGAAATGATGTATGGTTTTCACATTAAAAAAATAAAATCTAAAAGGTGTATTCAAAAAAGTTCAAGACCAAAACAACTGGACTTTATTTGTAACAGAAGACATTTTGTTTCTCATACGAGGAGCTTTCTCAATTCCAAGAGCAGAGCGTGTGGGGTTCAGGTTATAAAGCTGAGATAAGATACACACATACATATGCAGATTGATCTATCACGTCTTACAGTAGGGGTTTGTTAAGGTCTTTGTTAATCTTATTCACAAATGTGGCCCCTCTGGTTACATCTGATAGGTGTGAAAACTGGCTGGGTATCAGTCCTAAAGTTACATTATAAGTTTTTGAAAGTGGAAATCTGAGGCCTCCTCCTCTGTTTAAAGATGGTTGCTCTCTTTTTACATAAATTGTTTCCTTCAGTCCCCTCTCAAACCATCAGTCTTCTCAGTCCAAGATGTGAACATTGTGGTCCTCAAAAGAGTGTCCCTTATCCTTGAGGTGGAGGTGAACTGCTGAGTCTTGTCCTGTGGAGCTGGCTCTCCTGTGTTGAGTCATGCGTCTGTGAAGAGGTTGTTTAGTTTCTCCAATGTAGAGAGGTCTGGACAGTCCTCGCTGCACTGGACCACATACACTACACCACTCTGTTTGTGTATGGGTGTCTTGTCCTTAGGGTGGACCAGCCTCTGTCTGAGAGTCCTGCTGGGTTTGAAATGTACTGGGATCTTGTGTTTGTTGAAAATCCTTCTGAATTTCTCTGATACTCCAGCAACATAAGGGATGACGATGTTTTTCCGTCTGTTGTTCTCCTTTTTCTGTTTATTGGTGTGTTTTGTAGATTTCCTCGCTGACTTGACAAAAACCCTGTTAGGATATCCACATGTTTGGAGAGCTTCTTGGATGTGTTTCTGTTCCTTTCCTTCTGTCTTCGTGGAGACGCGTTCGGCCCGATGCTGTAAAGTTCTGATGACTGAGAGTTTGTGTTCCAGTGGATGGTGGGAGTCAAACAGAAGATACTGGTCTGTGTGGGTTGGTTTTCTGTAAACTTCAATGTTGAGGCTGTCCTCTCTCTCCATGTGAACCAAACAGTCCAAAAAAGGCAGCTTGTTGTAGGGCTGTGTACCGAACCGACGTTCTTTTATGGCACCGACCGAATTGCGTCAGTCGGTGTATGGATTGAAACATGACTCTTTTTTCATTGTCAAGTTTCAGTATTGGCTGTAACGTGACAAGTGGTTTCAGCACGCCGGCAGGTAAAACACAGATATATGACAAACAGACTACGTGTTTACACGCAGAGCTGTACAGAGCTGCTGTATGTCTATGGCGCTGGTTATGCCCACAGACGGGGTTCACGTGTTCAGCACGTGTGGCGTCGAACGGCTTCAGTTTACGAGCAGAAAGTTGCTCCATGTTTTTCTGCGAGGAGAGAGGAGGACAGCAGCCTCCCCTCCTCCTCCTCTCAGCATTAAAGTCAGTCTGTGAGTGTTGAGAGCATGAATGATTCATTATCTCCATGACCGGACTCCTCTTCCATCAAAGAACTCCGAGGACGGAGCTGTGTGTGGGATTTCAGCTGGTAAGTTTATGTTTGCTAACGTTACAGCAACTTATCCTGATGCATGCTCAATAATCCAGGTAGACAAATCTAAAAAAGTTAAATCTGGTCCTCTGGACATTCAAAAAAACAAAACAAAGCAAATCAACAAAAAAATGTAGAAACGTTTCGTCTCTCATCCGAGAGACTTCCTCAGTCTGAGGTGCTGTATTCAGCTCAGTCTCTTCAATAGCACCTTCTCAGGGTGGATCAACCAGTTTTGCTGCTGACAACCAAAACCAGCTGATCACATGCTCAAGAAGGACCATCAGCCTAACAACGGATCATTAGCACCTGATGGCTGTTTACTATTCACAGAGGGCTGAGTGATACTAGCAATCACAGCATTGTAAGAGGGGGACAGTTGAACCCGGAGGCTCCACCCCTGTTTAATGATGGACGGTTTCTTTTCACAAAGATGGCCTCCTTTACTCCTCTCTCAAACCATTGTTCCTCTCTGTCCAGGATGTGAACATCTTCATCCCTGAAAGAGTGACCGCTGGCCTGGAGATGAGTGTAGACCGCAGAGTCCTGGCCTGACGATGTTGATCTTCTGTGCTGGTCCATCCTTTTGGCCAGTGGCTGTTTAGTTTCCCCGATGTAAGACTGATCACCCTCCTGACACTGAACAGCATACACAACATTACTCTGTTTGTGCCGGGGGACTGGATGTTTGGGATGAACCAGTCTTTGCCGTAATGTATTTTGGGGTTTAAAAGCCACCTGTTGATTATGCAGTAGAGGTGGTCAGTTTAAAATTAACATCAGACACCACTCTGAGCAGCAGGACCACACTTTCCACAGAACAACTGTGTCAACTCTTGAAACTGTGCCTGCAGTCAACCTACTTCACATATGGGGAGCAATATTATAGGCAGAAACATGGGTGTGCTATGGGGTCT